CCCCCCCCCCCCCGATTCAGGAGCCACCAGTTGCCCATGAACCTAAGCATTAGTTTTTGGAGCAGAAACTTCGGGATACAGCTGGGTTTCTGAAGGGAGACATTGCTCAGTTCTGTTTATGAGGCTAAGCATAGTAGATCCTAGCTCCAACATGAGCTCTACAGATGAAAGTGTAACATGGCTCTCATTCATAAGCATGGTAGCACTAGCAGTTCTCATTTACATAGATACTTAAGTCTGTTATGAAATAATCAAAAGTGGATATTTCCACATAGTTTTTAAATGTCAAATATATGAAAAAGTTTGTATAAAAAATCTTAGCTTGTAAATATTAATTTTTCAACCAACACACATCATATTAGAACATGTTTCTAAAAATTAAAATTAAAAGTTGAAATTAGTGGTTCTCAAACATTTGTGGGTTACATACCTCTTCTTAAGTTTGTTATGCTGCTGGGCCCCTCTGTGATTCCTCACCTTTCAAACTTCTTCATCAATCTAAAAGTTATTGTAGAGTTTTTCTTTCTTTCTTTCTTTTTTATGCTTTTCTCTTGTCTACCCCTCCAGAAGTTTGTCTCATACCCTGAAGGATATGTGTGGCAAAATACCGCTCTAGAATACAGATGACCTTACTTAACAAATATCCTGATTCTTCTACTTGTGTGGCTTCTGCCACAGCCTGCTGGAAGCTCTTCTCCACTTTTTGGATGATGATAGCTACCTTAGTCAGATTTCAAGCTCTTCCTTATTATCTGATTTGGTAAGAGAATCTGAAGGTCCTGCCAACCTGTTAACTTTGTGCAAGTTAAAACAAACAAATACTATGAAAATGATCTCTGTGAACAGCTCTTTTTAAAGAAAGTCTTGCTTGACTTCAACTGTAACATTTAGAGACAACATTTAGATTTGAAATAACAAATGATTGGGGGATTCACTATTCTCATTTTTATTCCAAATTGTAGGCACCATTTCCAAACTTGAGAATTTGAACATGACCCTATCTAAGTATCTGGTCTAATCTCTTTAGTAGTTTAGCTACTAAAACCTTTGAGTATATTATAATTGAATTACAACTTAGAGCAAGTACATACATATAAATTAACTGTATATTATATAAAATAGTATATGTTATCAATAAATATAAATTAATTGACCCTACTTTACAAGCATATGCAGTGCACTGTTTACGGAAAGCATAGACAAGAAAGCAGTAAAACATGACCTTGTTGTAAACAAAGTTATTTGTCCTAGTAATGATACCAAAGATTAGCCAAGCTGGTGATTTTTACCTTGCTGATGATTAGGATACCCCTTCCATTTTTGTAGTTAGCTCCTTGATTTCATAGCTCACTGCTGCCTAACAGAATTTCCTCTTCCAATTAATGTGCACAGTGCACTATTATAATGGCAGAAACTGTCGGCAAAACCTTGACCTATATTATCACTCAAAAAACCACGCTTATAGTTTCCAGTTTGACAACAATCTTTGAATCTGAGTCAGTCCATGGGAAAACCCAGCACCCCTTAAAGAAACAGTCTCATGTTTTTCCCCTGAGCCTTTTGGAAGGATTTATTTTAACATTATTAAAAATGTAGCCACCATCCTCAGCAGCCACTTTACATTACATTATGTGTAAATACATATTTGTCAACTATCTATCAAAACAATCCAGCAAGGATCTATTTCAGCATTTACTGTTTCATAAGTGCGCTTAGTTCAATTGTTAAGAAAAATATTTTCTGATATAAAAACAATCTATAATGTAATAATCCTTTGAAATACTCCATCTTTTAAGCACCATCAAACTTTTATCACATCTCACCTCTTCTCTTTCCAGATCATTTGTGTGTGACATTAACAGAAATGCTCCTAAAACTTAGCGTTTCCCTTGTTTCGTCCCAAACTGTTACAATTCTTACCTCCTCATTCATTATTGAATGCTCTCCCCCTGCTTTAATGACACGGAGCAGATTAAGGGAATGTCTGATTAGGTCCCGTAATGACTGAGACTATGTTCTGACCAAGCAATTAAAATGCGGGCCCACATCCAATGTTGTGTGCCTAAACTAGCTCTTGGTTGCTCATAAAGGGAGTGAGAGATATAATTGCCCTTTTCAGAATTCAGCTGTGAGATGGTGGACATCCTAGAAAAGTGAGTTCACAGTATTCCCTAGCACATCAGGTCCTGTCATTTGGGTCAGTATAAAACAGTAACTTCTATATAGCAACAGGCAACTTTGTTCTACTCCAGGGAGAAGTACATTTCAGTCTGCAAGACCAGATATAATTGGGCTTTAGGCAAGTGAAATGCAATGTGTGAGGGAAGTAAAAGTGCCCCACAGCCTGGGTATCACATCCTCTGGCAGCTGGTGTTCCAACTATGGACTACCATACTTTCACTCCTCTTAAGCAAGGATATCTGCATTCATTAGAAGGCAAACATTTTTATAAGGGATGCTCCACTTGAAGAAGATTTGTAGCAAGGGAAATGGGAATATTTCCTCTAACTGACAAGTTTGAGGGGATCACCTCAAATTTGATGTACTATGAGGCATTCTGAAGAAAGTTACCCACATGAAGGAAAATGTTTCTC